CATTTATTCTGCAAATAGTACATTATCTAAAGCCAAATTTTGGAGCATTAGGAACAGACTTGGCCGCCCGCGCTTGTCGTTGTATCGTGCAAGCATGTGGAGTCCGGGAAGTCTATCCATCAGTTTTAAAAGGTCGTTGTTAGTGTGCGGGTATGTGCAAAATGTGGGCCTCGCCGCACTTGATGTTGTTCTAGCTAGGACATATTCGCACGGCGGATGAACTCAGCTCGATGAATTCCTATCCGTCGAGGCGACGATTTTGGTGTTAGGTCAGTTGTCCAATCGAAGGTAGTGACATCCCCACACAGAGGATTGCTGCAGACCGATGACCTGCCTGGTTTTTTAGGGCTAAGGAGTAACCTTGTCTTCCACATTTCTGTTGGGACAGCGATTTTCCTCGATAAGCGCATTGATGGGTGCATTGGTGTTGATTGAAGATTCCTTGTGTGACAGTTGGTACACGACCCCCGTATTGTGCGGGTTGATGTCAGCCCATGGTTAATGCAGTCGGCGCAGCACGGGTCCATGCTCGTGGCGCTAAGTTTGCCGTCGACTGCTAGGAGTGGGTCGTGGACGGTAGTCATAGACAGCGCTCCTTGATAGCTTCAAGCGCATCATATTGTTTTTATTGAGGAAGGGAATGCGCCGAGGGTCGACCTCACATTCTCCGCCAGCTACAGGCCCTCGCCTAGCTGATCGAGCGCCTGAGGTGGGATGGGCGCAGGGCAAACAAGGAAAGCAAGCCGGAGGTGAGCATTGTAGAAGAGGCTGTGCAAGGGGAGAAAAGAGCGAGGAAGAGAAAGAGAGAAAACAAGGAAACGAGCGTACACCAGGGTGCGGATCATGGTAAGCGTCAATCAGGGTGGCAAATAACAAGAAACTGAGGAGAGACGAAAAGAGTACTCAGCTCCGCTACACTGCGTTGGTCTGCGGAAAAAAGTGAAACCCAGAATTTATCTATAGTACATGTTTTTGCTCATTAGTGTGCAAGTAGGTAAACACTACGCCCCTCCGCAGGGCTGCTGTGACATTTCAGGAGGCAGTTGAACACCACCATGCATCATAGGTGGAGTTTTTGTTGGAGGACCACCCAAGTTAGCTTGGGCCGTTTACAGTCTTGCCTATCGCCTTCGGTAGGACTTATCGGATATGGAGAGAGGACATATGAAATACGACTACGAGGTGCGTGGACATGACAGTTTGACATCCTCTAATGCGTGGTTCGGCAGACTGACAGAAAAAGTGGCGAGTTACGCGTGAATTAGTTCAAGGTAATAATAGACTTGCGCAGGGTATAACGCCTTCTCTATTACCTCACTCGCCCACCAGGAAGCCCGGAGTTTGGATCGGGCGCAGGTAACTGGCACGGAAAAATTAATATCCAAGCCCACAAATAAATCCCCTGATCCTCAAAGGCTCGGTCAGGTTTTTTAATATAATAAGTGCAAAGTTGCCAATACGAGCGAATATGCGAGTCCCAGGAAGTAATTGAGAAGAAGACGATTCGATCGCTGGGCCAGTACTTTTATTCGCCTGACGGTTCGAGATCCGTCGCGGATTCGTCACCAGGGACATTATCAGATAGCAGTAGCGTATACGGGTATTGTCCCAGCGATCGAGTCGTCTTCTTCGCAAGTGCAAAGTTGCAACAGCGTGGATCCTTGCTCTCAGGTGTCACTACATACTATCATACGACACGCGGCCACAGTCCACACTTGGCGAAGATTAGTGTACATCGCAATGGGTCCAACACAGATATAACCTGCAGCT